CTGCCCATTGGGGGACATACGCGGCGGCCGCAGGTAAGTTATTTATAGGTAGACGAAGGAGGCAAGACAGGGACAGACGCGTCCCCCAGGAAAGGCCGGCGGCAAGCAGGGTTTCTTCTTGTTAATAGGAGGAAGAGCAAGCAGGACAGGGGACAGACGCGTCCCCACGGACAGACCGGCCGGCCGCAGGCAGGGTTTCTTTTATTATTAGTAAGAAAAGGAGAGGAGCAAGACAGGGGACACACGCGTCCCCGCACACAGGAGAGGTCGCAGGTAGGTTCCTTTCTTATTAAAACGGACACGAAGGCAGCAAGGCGGGGGACAGACGCCTCCTCGGGGGACAGACTGGGCGGCCGCAGGTAGGTATTTTATAGGTAGACGAAGGAGGCAAGGCAGGGGACAGACGCGTCCCCCAGGAAAGGCCGGCGGCAGGCAGGGTTTCTTCTAGTTAATAGAAGGAAAAGCAAAGCAAGACAGGGGACAGACGCGTCCCCACGGACAGACAGGCAGGTCGCAGGCAGGGTTTTCTCTTACTAATAAGAGAACGAAAAAGGCAAGACAGGGGACAGACGCGTCCCCGCATACAGGAGGGCAGGTCGCAGGTATGTTCCTTTATTATATTAATAATAAGACGAATAAGTCTTTTATAGGTAGACGAAAGAGGCAAGACAGGGGACAGACGCGTCCCCGAGGAAAGGCCGGCGGCAAGCAGGGTATCTTCTTGTATAGGAGGAAAAGCAAGCAGGACAGGGGACAAACGCGTCCCCACGGACAGACAGGCCGGCCTTAGGCAAGGTTTCTTTTATTATTAGTAAGAGAAGGAGAGGAGCAAGACAGGGGACACGCGCGTCCCCGCACACAGGAGGGCCGGTCGCAGGTAGGTTCCTTTCTTATTAAAACGGACACGAAGGCAGCAAGGCGGGGGACAGACGCGTCCTCGGGGGACAGACTGGGCGGCCGCAGGTAGGTTTTTTATAGGTAGACGAAGGAGGCAAGACGGGGGAGAGACGCGTCCCCCAGGAAAGGCCGGCAGTAAGCAGGAGCTTCTTGTTAATAGGAGGAAGAGCAAGCAGGACAGGGGACAGACGCGTCCCCACGGACAGACCGGCCGGCCGCAGGCACGGTTTTCTTTCATTAATAAGAGAACGAAAAAGGCAAGCCCCGCGGGGGCTCGGTCCTGGCTCAAACGAGTGTCCGTGGATCGCAATGGACTGTCGTCGGATAAGCAAGGACTTTCCTGAACAGAAGCATTATTTCGTCGTGACGCGAGAAAAAACAAGCCATTTAGCAGTTTCTTTTAAAATAGAGACAAAGTTTCCGAGTAGTTTTGCGAGCCGTTTAGCAGTAGTTCTTGGTTTCGGGGGTGGTTTTGCGAGCCGTTTAGCATTTATTGCTTCCGTTTGCGCAGACACAGCGCCGGCCTCTTAGCAATGCAAAATCGGTTTCTGCAGCCAGGGGCCCCGCGAGCCTCGGGGACGGGACGGGCCATTTAGCAGTTTCGTGAAGTTGCCTTAAGAAGGTGGGTGCATGACGTGCCTGCAGGGAGCCTCAGTTTCACGACAGCATGACACGCTCATGCCACGTTTCACGTGCCTGCGCCTCAGCTTTTCGGGGCTGCCATAGCTCCCTCTGCCCGCAGACTCTCACATACTCGACAGGGCGATCCGGAGCCATGTCCGCCGCCGTTCCTGAGACTGCAACTCTGCCGGACGTCGCCCTTCTGGTCAAGGAGCCCTGGATCACCCGCATCCTGAATGGCGGCAAAGTCTGGGAGATGCGGAGCTTTCGCTGCCTGCGTCGTGGCCGGATCGCGCTGGCGTGCTCGGGTACAGGGTTGCTGTACGGCGAGGTCGACGTCCTGGACTGCCTTGCGGCGGGTGCCCTGGATACAGGCGGGACTCTGGTCGCGAATGGCCGCCACGCAGACTTCATGATGCTGCCACAGAACATGGCGAAGCACGGCTTGACCGTTGCCGACGTCCAGGCCTTCGACTACCAACGATGGTGGGCCTGGGTCTTGGGGTCGCCGCGCTGGTACCAGGAGCCCAAGCCGTACTCGCATCCGCGAGGAGCAGTGAGGTGGGTCAAACTTCAGGCCGTGACCCAGCCGAGCGAGCCGGCACTGAAGCGCACGCGGACGCGGTAGAGAGTGGAAACCTTCTGTGCTGGGCAGGCCAATGTAAATTTAGCCCGTTTCACACGCATTAGCGGCGATTGCTCGACCCTTGGAAACAGATATGGGCTCTACTTGCGCTGTTGGACTGTCCTTACAGCAGTTGCTTGACTCCTAACTTCTGCCTGCATAACCTCAGCCGTTGAAGTCCTTTCCTGCGCCGAAGCCCTTCCGAGCCCGCCTGTTCTCTATAGCAGATTCTAGCAGTTGTGCTCAGTTCGCCATGGGAAAGACATCCACCAACCCGCGTGCCTCAGGAAAGGAGGAGGCCAGCAAGAAGCCCCGCAACTTCGTGCCGAAGTGGGAGTACTGGGCCAAGGCGAAGCTGGCATCCTACTGCAGCGAGGAAGGTGTCCCTTTCCATGTCGGGCCGGAGCAAGACGAGAAGAAATTCCTGCAACTGGAGAGCATCCGCGAATCCCGTGATGCAGGGAATGAAGAGCTGTTCCGGCGCCTGGGCATGGGCTTGACGCTGGATGCCTCGAGCGTGGACGCCGGCTTCAAGCTCCTGGCACGGCACTTTGCCGGCGACTGGCCCGATGACGTGAAGTCGCGCCTGGGCAAGACGGGCCTGGTACAGATCAAAAGCTTTCTGGCGACATCCGAGGGTTCCCAGGTGGCGAATGCAATTTCGATCCTGAATATGGGGAAGTCCAAGCAACCGGACGAAGGCGATGTGAAGAAGGCAGTGAAGACCCTCGTTGCATTCGCGACCGGTGGGACGGAGGATCTGGTGAAGCACTTGGGTCGCTTGGCGTCCAGCTCGGCCGTTCTGTACCTGTGCTCCATGACCTTGCTCAAAGACTTGGCGCTCTTCGACGATCTACCCAGCTGGGCCAGAAACATCGAAGGCAAGCAGAGCAAGGCGGTTCAGGCCTGGGCAAAGCGTCCTGGAGATAAGGACAAGCTTCGTGCTGCTCTGGTCCAGGAGCTGATGGCGAAGGTCCGGAACAATCACAAGGAGAGTGGCAAAAAGCGCAGAGCCTCTGATTCCTCCGTCGGCGGCGCCAGCCCGGCGGCCTGCAGCTCGTCGTCGACCGATAGCTCGAGCCCCTCCGATCCGAAGCCTACGAAACACAAGAAGAGCAAGAAGCGCTCCAAGTCATCTTCGTCGTCGAGCAAGATGGCAAAGAAGGACAAAAAGAAGGAGAAGAAGACGAAGACGAAGAAGCCGACAAAGGAGAAGAAGTCGGACAAGAACGTCAAGCGTGCCAGCAGCAGCCCTGATCCGGACAAGCCGAAAGGCGTGCCGCCGACCGGTCCTACTCAGCCAGTGATTCCACAAGCAGATCGCACCAGCGCCGCCTTCACCACATGGACACAAGGGAGCGTGCAGCTGTTCGTCGCCGCGGTCGCCTCTGAGAAGGGCGTGATGGGGAACATCGCCGGTGGTGTCGTGGAGCGGTCCACTCTGGAGAACCTCCTGAACCAAGTCCCCGAGGATGTGCGGCTGTGCTTCCCTGTGCTGCAGGATCTCCAGACTCAGATGGGGGAGGACGAACATATCCCCGGGCAGCTCGCGAAGAAGATCCTGGCGCGTCTCGCCGCGATTGGGTCCGAGGCCGAAGCTTTCTGGGAGGAGCAGTCCGGTGCGGGGGCGACCGGCGCCGGCGAGTGACTGCCCGTTTCACCTTACTAATGTGTGCAGCTTCAAAAGACGCGAGACAAGCGCGGCTGCGACTTTGCATCCATCTGCAGGCCAAGCTAGCGGTCGGCTTCGTAGCGCGACTCTGTATTCTATAGTCTTCTTTCGCAGCTAGCCGTGCGTCGATCACCGTACAGATCTGAGACACGATGTTGCCCGAAAGCAAAAATGTGAAGGACCGCTCCGATTGGTTGTGTCTAGTCGGCCTGACATAGGCTTGCTACTGATTCACGAAACGTCATCCCGCAGCTATAGAGACAGTGTAGAAGAAGAGCGCAAGCCTTGCTGGTTCAGACATGGCGCCGAAATCTACAGGGGGACTCGGGCATCGAGATGCTTTGAATCAAACCAATGCGCTGTGGGATGAAGGCCTGGTGGAGTCGGAAGTTCGCCGAAAGCTTCGCGAAGCTGGATACAATGCGCCGCGTATCTCCCAGCTTTTGAAGGCTACCCGCCGTCCGGCGGCAGTACCTCCTCCGGTGCCTGCAGCAGCGCCGAGTCGCCCAGAACGGAAAAGGAAGGTGCCAAACGAAAACGAGGAGGACGCACTGGCTGCCGCCTTGGACGTGTGGCCCCACGAAGCTGTCCAGGCACTGGCTGCAGAGGTCTCTACGGCAAGGGCTAGTGTGGGTGGCAGCTCCCATGTGGCTCTTGCGACGCTACAGGGATTCATCGACCAGGTCCCACCCTCGGTGCGTGCATGCTTCCCGGCCCTCGGGGCACTCCTGCCGGAAATGCCGACCGACGGTGCGGACGTACCCACAAACCTGGCTAAGCGAATCTTGACGCGCTTGTCTGCCATTGCTGCCCAGGCAGATGCTTTCTGGGAGGAGCATTCCAGTCCGGCGGCCTCCGCGACTGCCCCCACGCCACCGGCCTAAGCACCCAAGCCTCGAATACGACTGAGATGTGTGATGTCCAGTTTTACCACTGTACCTGTAATCTATATAGGCTTTCCGGTGTGTCCGTGCCAGCCAGCGCACGGACGCTCTACAAGTTCTACAAAAGTCAATCAGGCTCTCCAGGAAAAAGACGCTGCACCGTGATCTCGATGCGCACGGAGCTCAAAATCAATGCATCGTGAGGGCTTGCTTCGTTTGGAGGTGTCTGTCCGCGGCTTTTTGTGGTTCGAGCACTCCACTGAGACAACCCTGTCTTATCTCTTTGACTCTGACGCCGAGCATGGCCGCGCCTTGTCCGTCCTCGGCTGCCGCTGCCTCGGCGCTGGATGACGATCTGTTCGACCTGGGCATCCAGGAGAACGGTGACGTGGCAACGGTGGACTCTCTGGATCGAGCCGAACTGGAACAGTGCGATGCCCAGCCGGCATCGGGCGACGACACCGGGCCCGACGATTTAGAGCTTGCGCTCGCAGAATTGGTTGAGGAGGCCATGGAAGCCATTTCCGAAGCCAGCGTCTCGGACGTAGAGATGATGGATCCCACTCCAGCTGCTGCGAATCCTTCTGGATCAAAGATGCCGCCGCCCCCTTCATCCTCATCGGTGGCTCGCAAAAAGCCTGCCGGGCGCAAGGCGTGGCCGAAGGAGAGATGTGCTGGACTCCCAGGCTCTCCTTGCACTTTCCACAGCAGAGGCACGGGAGAGTCCGCAAGGATCCATCCTGAACGTGGCGAAACACATTGCCGCTTATGTGACCCAGACGAGTGTCGAGCGACTACGGATGCGATCTTGCTGAATCTACTGACAACCTTCAAGAGCAAGGGCGACATCCTATACCGCGCAGCCTTGGACCGTCTGCGCCAGCATTTGGGGGAGTCAAAGGTTTCTTCGCTCGTCGACCCCTGGGGGGAGCGCTTGCTTAAACGCCGAGCTGCCTCTGCCACGCTGAAGCCTGGGCCACGAGAAGCCTACAACGCCGAGGTCACGCGGGATCGGCGGGTGGCTCGCCGCAAGATCTTCTTTCCCGAAAAGCTCCACTCCCGCGCAGCAGAAGCGGACGAGGCTGCCGAGATCGAGCACGTCCGATCCATCGGCAGTATCGAGGATATGGCGGCAAATGACACCGGCCTACCCACCCCCAAAGAATCGGTTCCGCGCTTCGTGGAAGCCTGGTGCAAGCAAGGGTCCTGGGCCATCTGTGAGAAGTGCCACAGCATGTGCCCGCGGCCTCTCCAGCCAGTGGACACACGGCGAGTCGCTAAGCCAACGATCCCGGCAAACCAGTGCACGGCTTGCCAGAAAGACGAGTATGTTCCCCAGTTAGCTGACATCCCTGTACCTCTGCGTGACCTGAAACCTCGTGTGATCCAAGCCCTTCGTCCCCTCGAGATCGATACCGGGGCGGCTGAGCGGGTGCAGTTTGGTTATCGTGTGCACACCTCTATGATCAGCTTCGCATGGGAGCCGGTGTCCGTCGAGTACAAGATCACCTCGCTGGAGAAGCGAAAGGACCGGAAGGCGGCCGAGGCGGCTTACCTGCATCTCATGAGCTCGTCGAGCAGTGCCTACAAGGACTTTGTTCTCAAGCACAATGAGTTCCTCGAGAGGCACGGCGAGAATGCGGACAAGAAGGTCCGGAAGCGTCCCCTCCGGTTCCTGGAGGAAGAGGGCTTGGAATGTTGTCTGTGGCCGCACCTGTACTATCACAAGAACCTCTGTGAGACCGTGGCTCGCGCAACCCACGAAGCACGGCAGAAAACGAAGCAGGGCCGCAAGCGGCGTGCGGACGAAAGCAGTGACGAGGAGGCAGCCGAGGATGCAGGGGATGGTGTGGGCGACACCATTGCTGCCAGCAAGCTGGGCCGCATCAAGCGTGGGTTCATTCGGAAGGTGCTGTCGCCGGTGATCGGCTACGGCGCGGACTACCAGTTGCTCCACTTTGTGTACGACTTGAGCATGTGGACGACCATTGGCACCAAGCGCAACATTGCCACCCGTTCCGGGGTCCCCTTGCGGCTGCTCCTGAAAGGTTCGCCGTGGACACCCCAGTACTGGCGAGTTCGGCATCAAGCCCTCATCGACATGCAGCGGCAGTGCGGCAATGCCAGCCTCTTCAGGACCCGAGCCCCCTACGAGCGGACCTTCCCCTACCACCGCTGGATCCTGCACGAGCAAGAGGTGCTGGGGCGCCCGCGGCAACATCTCGCCGGCGCGGAGACCTTGCATATGGCACACGTTCTTTTGCAGCTGGACAAAGGATACTTCTGCGGTGCCATGGCACGTGCCGGACGAGCGGACCGCAACTGGAAGGAGCATCTGTTGGGTCCGGCAGCTGGAGACGGCACCAACACCGTGGTGGCGCACGCAACGCGGTTGGAGTTCCAGGATGGGAAGCGGAAGCGCGGCACTCAAAAATACCATGGTCGCGGCACCACACACAGCCACTCGCTCGACTTCCTCGAAAACATGGGAGCTATCGGCCTGGAGACCAAGGTACAAGCCACGATTCCGCCGGATGACACTGAGCCTCTGTTGCATGGCTTGGTTATGGACTCTCAATGTGATTACAAGGACTCTGGCCTTCCGGTGCGTGAAGAGCCTTCCGCTTGGGACGGGGACGAGCAGAAGGTGTTGCTCCACCACGGGGAGGACGACAAGGACGCCAAGGTCCGGGCGTACTTCAAGCATACGATGGAGGTGACCAAGTGCCACGAGGATGTGCAGCAAGGCGACGGCAATGGCGCCGTGCTTCGCTACGTGTCGACCTACAACATGAAGTTCAGCAACTCCATGGATTCGGATTGGCTGAATGGAGCGGCGTCCGACTACAGCACTGCCGCAGGAGTCCTCCGCCGCTACCAGCCGCTGGAGCCAGAAATGTGGTTGACCCTGGCACAGGAGCGGTTCCCACAGGCCTACCTAAGCGGCAGCTTCGTAGATTACATGGCTCCGAGCTTGGACATCGAAGAGAAGCCGCTGTTCCTCCAGCACTACGAAGGGTCCACCTGGCGCCGCGAAGACATGACACTCCTGGAGTTCCTGCGCAAAAGCAACGCACAAGGCGAAATCATTCACCATATCCGCAGGAAGCACCAAGACAAGGTCATGGAGGAGGTCCGTGACCTCAGACACGAGTCGGAAAAGGAATTCGCGGGGTGTCGCAAGGAGTTGCTGGCGGCCTTCCGTCGCCACCGATCGGATTGTAAGGCTCGACGGCGAGAACCGAAGCCCTTGACGGAGTTCCTCGCCGACCGCGACTACCTCGGCCTCACCACCCTGGAAGACTTCGCCAACGACTACGTCTGCCGGGGCGAAAAATTGGCTGCCGTTTCCACGCATTCGATGCTGAACGACCGCTACTACGGTCAGTGGCTGGCACTCAACCGGCCGTTCCGGCGACTGGAACAATTCGTGGAATCCGCCCCCGACGTCATGGAGCGAGTGCCCGAGAAGTACCGGTGCTTCGCACTGTGCCTGCACCACGCTGCGGATTTCTGGGACAACGAAGGCCTCGTCCGTGAAGCTATGGAGCTGGAAGCACGAAGCAACGCCTTCGTCGAAACCATCCTGAAGAAGGTCCAAGCGCAGAAGCACCTGGTTGAGCGCTACCTGGGGGGCGAGATTCCCGTCACAGAAGTCATGAGTGCCGAGGAATCCGACGAGGGGGGTGCGCTGGACTCAGAAGGCAAGCGGTCGAAATTGACACAATCCCAGAAACGGCTAAAGACTCAGATCAAGGACCGTATGGAGAATGCCATGACTGCCGCTGAGGCGCGAGACGACGAAACCGTGGAAGCTTGTGTGGCGGCAGCAGCGACCAATCGAATCCTGTTCGCCAACGGCCCGCCAGGCACTGGCAAGACCTACGTGGTACACGAACAGGTTCGCCGCTGGAAGCAGAGGGGGGCCCGCATCCTCTTTGCCGTGCCAACAGGACAGTTGGCTTCTGAGATGCGTGCCATGCATCCGGACATCGACGTGGACACCAACCACGGTGCCTTCCTACTACACCGGCCCCTGCAGGAGGCGATGGCCATCATGACCCAGTACGACTTGGTGATCATCGACGAGGTCTCCATGCTCACGGCTGCCCACTTTGAGCACATCCTGGCACTGTGGAAATATGCGGACCAGCTGCCGTGCTTGGTTCTGTTGGGGGACTTCTGGCAGCTTCCTGTCGTGGATAAGACGGCAGAGCGCTGTGAACAGTCGGCCGCCTGGGGCAGTCATGTGGCGACCGTACGCTTCCACGAGCAGGTGCGGTGCAAGTGCCCTGTCCTCCAGAAGAAGCTTGACATCCTGCGGACGGCCATCCCAAGTGTGGAGCAGATGAAGGGCATCCTCCGCAGGCACCGGGCCTGGAAGACCCGAGAGCCCACCGGGTACGACGTCCTGGACCTCTTCCGCAGGCACGAAGACACCACCGTCGTCACCTGCACACGCCACGGGGCAGCCACCATCAACGACCTGGCTGCGAAGGTGTTCTTCGAAGATCGGCATGTGCGGCCACTGGGGAGCTTGCCACTGGACTACGAGGCCAACGCAAGCAACTACACGCAGGCGGGGAAGTTGCGGAGCGGCAAGCTAGAGCCGGCCATGCGCGAGATCTACCAGGGGATGCGCATCTTCCTCACCAAGAACATGTCGAAGGAGGACGACTTCGTGAACGGCATGGCGGCCACAGTGGTGGGGTATGATGAGCGCAGCCGGTGCTTGGAAGTTGTTACCCGCACCAGGCAACGCCTCGCCGTGTATATGGTGACCCACGAGCTGGAGGACGGGCGAAAGGTGGCGTGCTTCCCGGTTCGTCTCGGTTACGCATCCACTGTGCCCAAAGTCCAAGGCATGACGCTCCCACACGTCACCTTGTGGTTGGACCACGCTGGCTGCCGGGCGGCCGCCTATGTAGCCTTGTCTCGGGTGCAGAAGGACGAAGACTACCTCATTGCCGGGCTTGTCGGCACCAAGCACTTCGTCCCCGCCCACTGAGCGAGCGTAGGTCTGTATCGTGTATTGTAGAGACTGCTGTCACCTTGCAGAATCGCCGAAGAACAGCACCGGTCAAGGACATCACGAATACTGGAGTTGATTCTGCTGGCACAGATGTATTCTTAGTTTCAACATTGCTGTCGTGTGATTGCGCGCACGGCCATGCAGCGAACATACTGACCATCGGCTGCCGCGGTGCCTGAAAAAGCGAGCCTGTGATGTAGTGAGTGATGGAGATCAGTATCAGCGTGAGCACAGACTGACGTAGCGCCAGCGTCGGAAGCAGACAGGGTCACTCTCGCCTGATGCTTGCCTTGCAACTTTCGGCTCCGTTTTTTGCTTCGTGTGGCGCTGCTAATGTATTGAAGGTATAAGTCTCGTAAGGAAGCAAAAAGCAAGGAAGCCCCCCTTGAGGGGGGTTTGGGGGGTGAACCCTAAACCCTAATTGAGAATAGTTGGGGTGGTTGGGGCGGGACTACATGCTGACGCAAGCGCGCGCTTAGTGGGTGCGCCCCCTATTCCTAAAGTAAAAGGCGCACCCACCGCGCGCATACTGTTACACACCCTAAACCCTAAACCCTAAACCCTAAACCCTAAACCCTAAACCCTAAATTTTAGAAGGCGCAAGCGCCAAGATGCGACAGCGTAGGTTGTGGTTTTGACAGTAGAATGGCAGCAGAAAGCCTGAAATCTTTTAAGGTCTTCGGGTTTAGAGCGCTAGGGTTGAGGGTTTAGGGCCTTGGGTTTAGGGTTTCGGGCCGAGGGTGTAGGGTTTAGGATGCTAGGGTCTAGGGTTTGGGGCCCTAGAGTTGAGGGTTTGGGGCCTTGGGTTTAGGGTTTTGGGGCCGAGGGTTTGGGGTTTAGGGTGCTAGGCTTTAGGGTTTAAGGCCCTAGAGTTGAGGGTTTGGGGCCTTGGGTTTAGGGTTTTGGGGCCAAAGGTTTAGGGTTTAGGGTGCTAGAGTTTAGGGTTTAGGGCCCTAGGGTTGAGGGTTTGAGGCCTTGGGTTTAGGGTTTCGGGGCCGAGGGTTTAGGGTCTGGGTGCTAGGGTTTAGGGGATAGGGGTTTAAGGTGCTAAAGGCAACACTCAGGGGGTGTCCCCCCATGGCTTTCGGCCATGGGTTTCGGCCATGGGTTTCGGCCATGGGTTTCGGCCATGGGTTTCGGCCATGGCTTCCGGCCAAGCCTCCAATCCCAAACTGGTTTTATTTCCGGTTAAGCGTCGGCCCTATAGAGAGCAGAGGTGCTCAGGGCGACGACTTCCCAGGCCCCTTGGTATTTTTCCGGCTTCCAAGGCCCGAAATGCAGGGAAAACCCCACAAAAGGCCAAGGCCATTTCCAAGGCCCCTTGGGACTTTGAGTGAATTTCCGGCTTCCAAGCCCCGAAATAGGGGGAAAACCCCACAAAACCATGAAAATCGTAGATTTTGCAGTACTCTTTCCTTTTCCGGAGGCCATTTCCAAGGCCCCTCTGGGATTTTGAGGGAATTCGCGGCATCCAAAGCCCGAAATAGCGGGAAAACACCACAAAAGCATCGAAATCGTCGATTTTGCAGTAGCCCTTCCTTTTCCGGAGGCCATTTCCAAGGCCCCTTCGGATATGGAGGGAATTTCCGTTTCCAAGGCCCGAAATGGTGGAAACCCCACAAAAGCACCGAAATCGTCGATTTTGCAGTGCCCTGAGAGAGGGGTACTGCAAAATCGACGATTTTGATGCTTTTGTGGAGTTTCCCTGCCATTCGAGGGCCTTGGGAGCCGAAAATACCTTGAAAATTCTGGGGGAGCTTGGAAATGGCCTCCAGAAAAGGAGCAGCCAGGAACACAAGGAAAAAGGAACCAGGCAGCCAGACAGCCAGGGAGGCAGGGCCGGAGGTCGAGAGAGCTGGGGAGCCAGGCTGCCAGGAAGGCAGAGAAGCAGGGAGGCAGAGTGCCAGAGACCCGGAGGCCTTGTGAAAAGGCCCAAAAGAGGGCCTTCCCAAGACCGGAAAGAGACCAGCAAAGAGTGTGACGCACGCGCGCGCCAGAAGAAGCCCAAAAGAGGCCAGGAAGAGGCCAGTAAGAGGCCCGGAAGAGCTCGCGACGAGGCTGGGAAGAGGCCCCAAAGAGGCAGACATGGAGTGTGACAGCGCGTGGGTGTAAGAGCTCGTAGCACTATTACTACTAGGACTAGTAATACTAGTAATACTACTAGTACTACTATTACTATTATTACTATTACTATTACTACTATTATTACGATTACTACTATTACTACTACTAGTACTATTACTACTATTACTACTATTACTACTATTATGACTATTACTACTATTATTACTATTACTACTATTACTATATTAATACTACTGAGACTGAACCACAGCCGAGCCTCCAAAAAACCGACCCCGCGTGTACACACAATGCGTTTTTCCGTAAATGAGTCGCTAGACTCTCAGCATCACCAGTCTGTCGACTGTACTTGCACAGGATCGCAAGCTCTACGGCCCAGCCGTACTGGCGAACGGAACTTTCTCGCCAGCAATTTCTACGAGGCAGATCGCGAGCGCAGGTGTAACGCATCTCCTGCAGAAACTCCGATCAACGCCTGAAATCGACACTTTCGGTGTGTCCGACTTCGGGAGCGCCATCATTCCGGCCCCGATCACCGACCAAGTGGAGGCTGACTGGAAAACAGCCAATCCAGTGACTGCCACGGCGGGACATCGTGAACAAGCTCTTCGAACATGTTTGCTTGAGGGTCTTTCAGGGAGTTCAGGGAATAAGCCCCTAAGCCCCTAACCCCGCCCAATTTTCAATTTTTACCAAAACGGTTGACCCCGTTCGGGCTTCGCCCCCCTCCCTCCCCCCCCCTCCATTCCCGGTCAGCAAGCCCTAAACCGTTTCGAGGTGGAAATGACTACAAAAGCGAGGATTTTGTTGCTTTTGTGGAATTTCTCACCCTTTTGGTGACCTTGGAAGTCGGAAATGCATTGAAGATTCCGAAGGGTCCTTGGAAATGGTCTCCGGGAAAAGGAAGGGATGCTGCAAAATCGAGGATTTGAAGGCTTTTGTGTGGTTTTCCATCCATTTTGGGCCTTGGAAGCCGGACATTCCCTCAAGATCCCAAGGCGCCTTGGAAATGGTTTCCGGAAAAGGAAGGGATACTCCAAAATCGATGGTTTTGATGCTGTTGTTGGGTTTTCCTCCTATTTCGGGCCTTGGAAGCCGGAAATTCCCTAAGAATGCCGAGGGGCCTTGGAAATGGCCTCCGGAAAAGGATGGGCTACTGCAAAATCGACGATTTTGATGCTTTTGTGGGGTTCTCTCCCTATTTCGGACCTTGGAAGCCGGATTTTCACTCAAAATCCCAAGGGGCCTTGGAAATGGCCTCCGGAAAAGGAAGGGACACTGTAAAATCCACGATTTTGATGCTTTTGTGTGCTTTTCCACCTATTTCGAGCCTTCGAAGCCGGAAATTCACTCAAAATCCCAAGGGGCCTTGGAAAGGGCCTCCGGAAAAGGAAGCAGTGCTGCAAAATCGACGATTTTGGGACTTTTGTGGGGTTTTCCCTTCATTTCGGGCCTTAGAAGTCGGAAATTACCTAAAAATCCCAAAACGGCCTGAGAAATGGCCTCCGGAAGAGGAGCGGGAACTGCAGAATCGACGATTTTAGAGCTTTTTGTGGGGTTTTCCACATTTCGGAACTTGGAGCCCTGAAGGGTTTAGGGTTAAGGGTTAAGGGTTAAGGGTTTAGGGTTTAGGGTTTAGGGTTTAGGGTTTAGGATTAAGGGTCTAGGGTTTAGGGTTTGGGGTTAAGGATTTAGGGTTCAGGGTTAAGGGTTAAGGGTTAAGGGTTAAGGTTTTAGGGTTCAGGGTTTAACATTAAGGGTTAATAGAAGATAGAAGGTGTGTAGGGTTTGGGTCCGGAGTTTTGGCGGGTTTCGGGCGGGTTTCGGGCGGGTTTTGGCGGGTTTCGGGCGGGTTTTGGCGGGTTTTGACAGGGTTTTTGCTTTTGCTTTTTTGGTGCAGGTGGCTTTGTTTTTTGCTGCCTCGAGCCCTGCGGGCGGGTTTTGGCGGGTTTTGGCGGGTTTCGGGCGGGTTTTGGCGGGTTTTGACAGGGTTTTTGCTTTTGCTTTTTTGGTGCAGGTGGCTTTGTTTTTTGCTGCCTCGAGCCCTGCCCTGCCCCTGCTTTCGGGTTTACAGGAAACAACAAATTTGCGATGAAAAGACATTTTTCACAGCATGCTTATTGCTATTGTCATGAACTTGCCATCCAAACCGTGCAACCCACACCTTCTATTTATCATTTGCTTGAGGGTTTAGGGTTTAGGGTTTAGGGTTAAGGATTTAGGGTTAAGGGTTTAGGGTTTTGGGTTCAGGGTTTAGGGTTAAGGGTTAAGGGTTAAGGGTTTAGGGTTTAGGATTGGGGGTTAAGGGTTAAAGTTAAAGGCTAAGGGTTAAGGGTTAAGGGTTAAGAGTTTAGAGTTAAGAGTTTAGGATTAAAGGTTAAGGGTTAAGGGTTAAGGGTTTAGGGTTGAGGGTTTAGGGTTTAGGGTTAATGGTTAAAGGTTAAGGGTTGAGGGTTAAGGGTTTAGGGTTAAGGGTTTAGGGTTTAGGGTTTAGGATTAAGGGTTAAGGGTTTAGGGTTTAGGGTTAAGGGTTTAGGGTTAAGGGTTGAGGGTTAAAGGTTTAGGGTTTATGGTTAATGGTTAAAGGTCAAGGGTTAAGGATTAAGGGTTTAGGGTTAAGGGTTTAGGGTTTAGGGTTAAGGGTTTAGGGTTTAAGGTTAAGGGTTAAGAGTTGAAGGTTTGGGGTTAGGGTTTGGGGTTAAGGCTTTAGGGTTAATGGTTAAGGGTCAAGGGTTAAGAGCTAAGGGTTAAGGGTTTGGGGTTTATAGAAGGCGTGTAGGGTTTGGGTCCGGAGTTTTGGCGGGTTTTGGCGGGTTTCGGGCGGATTTTGACAGGGTTTTTGCTTTTGCTTTTTTTGTGCAGGTGGCTTTGTTTTTTGCTGCCTCGAGCCCTGC